GGAGTTATACTAAATTTTGTCCCCGTAATAATTTTGACCCCCGTAAATATTTTCATCTTTTATAATAATTTCGAGGTCAATTTTGAATTTTGGAATTTAATTTCGGAGTTATTTTAAATTAACCGGGGTCGGGTTTTTGATTTTTAATTTTAGGGGCATGTATAGTTGGAATGTCAAGTAGAAGTTGATGGAAATAATATATCAACAATTATTGATAGTGGAGCAGCTGCAAGTATTGTCACTAGAGATACAATTGAACAATTAGGGTATGAACCAGAGGAAGTATCAAATTGTGAAATAATAACTGCAACTGGTGAAAAAAGTTTATCATTAGGAAAAATTAGAGATTTTTCTATTACCATTAATGGAAAACAAATACCTATAGATGTAGAAGTTATGGAAGCAGATTTTTACTACTTATTATTAAGAAATAATTGGATGACAAAAGCAGGAACAGTATATGATTAGAAAAATCAAGAACTAACAATTACATAGAAAAATGGAAAAACTACAGTAAATATATCTTGCACTAAACAAAAACAAATAAATGAAGAGGGAGAGGCTGATGGTGAGGAAACAGATGATGAATCTGAAATTTATGAAGAGGAGGAGTGATCACACTCGGTAGATAAAAATTTAGAGGAAGAAAATCTAGAAGAAATAATAGCAGAAGAAATATTTTTGAACCAAATAAGTGAAATAAAGAGAATGGATGAAATAAAAGAGAAAGATTAACAGAGGAACAACAGCAACAATTTAATGGACTAATAAATAAATATAAAGATATATTTACAGAAGAAACTAATCAACTGGAAAGAATTAATGTAGTTAAACATGAAATAGAAGTTAAACCAGAAGCAAGACCATTAAAACAAAGATTTTACAAAACAGGTTGAACAAAAAAGCAGTTTATAAAAGAGGAAGTTGAAAGATTATTGAAGGAAGGAATTATACAACTATCAAAAAGTGCATGGGCTTCATCAGTAGTGTTAGTAAAGAAAAGTGATAAAAAGATGAGATTTTGTATATATTATCGAAAACTAAATGAGGTAACCAAAAGGATGCATATCCTATACCTAGAATTGATGAAATATTGGAAGAATTAGGAGGTGCTAAATATTTTACCACTTTGGATTTAGCAAGTGAATATTGGCAAGTAGAAATAGATTCAAAAAGTAAGGATAAAATAGTATTTACTATTGAACATGGAATTTATGAATTCAATATTATGCCCTTTGGATTAACAAATGTACCAGCAACATTTCAGAGGCTGATGAATCAAGTGTTACATTCAGTATTAGGAAATGGAGTAGTTGTATATTTGGATGACATAAACATTTATACAAAAACCTTTGAGAAACATTTGGAAAAATTAGAGGAAGTATTACGATTGCTAAAGGTTACAGGATTAAAAATAAAATTCAGTAAATGTAAATTTGTAGAAAAAGAACTTACCTTCTTGAGACATGTAGTTAATTAACAAGGAATTTTACCAGATCCCAGAAAAATAGAAAAAGTTAGGAATTTCCCTCAACCAAAAACAGTAACTGATATTAAAAGTTTTTAGGATTAGCATCATATTACAGAAAATTCATAAGAGGATTCTCAGAAATAGCAAAACCAATGAATGAATTAACAAGAAAGGGTGTATCATTTAAGTGGGAAAAAAGACAGGAGGAAGTATTTAAAAGACTAAAACAAGCATTAATTTCAAAACCAGTACTACAATATCAAGAATTTAATAAAACTTTTTACCTATATACAGATGGATCAGCATCAGAATTGAGAGCAGTATTAGTTCAAAAAGATGAAAGTAAACAAGATTATGTTATAGCTTATGCCAGTAAAAGATTAACAGGATCACAACCTAATTATTTAGCTACAGATATAGAATTATTAGCTGTAATATGAGCAATAAACTATTTTAGACAGTATTTAGCATATCAATATTTTGTGGTGGTAACAGATCACTCAGCTACACAATATCTAAAGAAAAATCCTATAAAAAAACTGAGGGAAAGACTGGCTCACTGGATACTACATTTACAATCTTTTGATTTCAATATTGAATATAGATTAGAAAAACAAAATAGAAATACAGATGTATTATCTAGATTAGAAAATGGATGAAGAATTATATCAACAACTAATACAACATTTAAAGAGTGAAAGAATAAATGATAAATTATCAAATAGAGAAAAGAGAAAATTATTAAATAAAGCAAAGTATTTTGAAGAAATTAATAGACAATTGTATAAGAAACCTAAAAGAGGAAGTACAGAAATATTAAAAGTAATAAGAAAATCAGAATTTGAAGATCTAATGAGGATAATGCATGACCATCCAATATCAGGTCATATGAAAATTAATATAATATACAATAAAATTAGAGAGATATATTATTGAAATCAAATGTATGATGATATTAAAGAATATATTAAAACATGTGATACTTGTCAGAGATTTGGAAGACCAGAAAGAAATGAAATACTACATTCAATTGAAGTTGGACAACCATTTGAAAGAATTGGAATAGATATTGTAGGACCTTTACCTGAGACAACAAGTAAGAATAAGTATATAGTTGTAACAACTGAATACTTGACTAAATGGCCAGAAGCAAAAGCACTAGACAAGGCAAATGCAGAAAATATAGCAGAATTCATATATGAATATATAATTTGTAGACATGGAACTCCAAAGACATTATTAACAGACCAAGGAACACATTTTAGAAATAAGTTAGTGGAAGAATTATGTAGTAAATTTGAAATAAGACATAGATTTTCATCACCATATCACCCACAAACTAATGGATTAACTGAAAGATTTAATAAAACACTTTGTGATATATTAAAGAGGACAAGTAGATTTAATGTATTTGAATGGGATAAAAATATACCATCAGCATTATTTGCTTATAGAACCACAAAACATAGTACAACCAAGTATACACCATTCTATTTAAACTATGGAAGAAAACTAATTTTACCTAATGAAGTGGAAGAAGAAAACCAACTAGAAATAAATGAAATAGATTTAGAAAATACTATCATACAGAGAATGTTTGAATTGGAAAAAACACTGTCACAAGACTTACAAAAGGTAAGAAATTTTATCAAGATTTCACAACAGAAATTACAAGGAAAACACAACTTAAAGATAAAGAGAAAGACAGAATTCAAAAAAGGAGATAAGGTACCCTTGTATGACTCAAAACAGGATAAACAATGGTCAGGCAAATTGGACACAAAATGGAAAGGACCATTCATAATCAAGGAGAGACTTAGTAAAAAAAGTTATATCCTAAATAATCAATTTGGACAACAAGTAAAGGAACCAATATATTCTGATAGATTAAAATTATATAAAGATAAAACATTGTAGGAGCCTTTTATCAAAATATAAATAAAGATAAACTAAAATAAGGAGAAATTAAGGAGAGATACACAAAATTAAGGAGAGATAAATTAAATTAAAGAGAAATAAATAAAAATCAGAGGTGATAGACAAAAATCAGGGGAAGTAAATAAATATAGAATTGACAAAAATAAATAATAATAATTTCATAAAAAAAAGGTTCAGAAAGCTATATAAAGATAGATAAAATTTTCAAGTCAAAGGAATAAAAATAATTACAAGAAATTTTAAAAATTAATTTCCAAAAACATTTTAAATTAATTACAAGAAGTATTTTTATAAAAACCATAACAGAATGAATACTCAAAGAAGATTTAAACCAGAAGACCCTTGCTTCAGGTGTAAAAGAGAATTTGAAATACATTCCAACTCCCATAAGTTTGGAAAAGAATATGATAATCCTAGATATAGGAATAATAGAGAAATAGTATGTGAATGTGATAGATTTTCAATTATTAAAACTGCTGCAAGACAAAGAGACAATCAAGATTCTGATTGAAATATAGATACACATTGTTGTTTCTGCAGAAAATCTGTGAGGATGACAAACCTGAGAATCAAAACAATAAGTGGATGGAATTATGAGCAATGTTATCAATGCAGAAATAAAACTTATATATCTGACACAAAAGAGATACTTTATCCAAACAAAAGAAGAGGAAGATATGAAAGTGGAAGAGAAAGAAAAAGAAACAAAACACCACCTGAATATGATCCTGTCAACAATTATATCACTGATACAATACAAGAAAAACAATTCAGAAAAGAAATTTTATGACAAGTGAAAGAACAAAGGAAGAGAGAACAATATTGTACTGAAAGATGTCAATTTATAGATCATAAAGAATTAAAAAAAGGAAGAAAAACTTATTTTAATGCAGATACAAGAATGATTCATGATAAAATAAATTGTTCACTTGGGGCAGTTGACTATGATAATAAAGAAAATGTATATCCCATATATTTATGTTACAATAGAAAAGCTAAATATTGTAAACAACATGAACATGAAAGGAGGACATGTAACTATTTTATGGAACAAAGGATAATTGAAAGATATTTTGGAAGATCTAGATGTCTAGCTCCAAATTGTATGTACAATGGAGAATATCAAAACTGTAGCTATTATTACTGCAGGAAACATAAAATCTACATAATGGAATATAGACAACCATGCAAAGAGTGTATTAAGGAAGAAAAATTTTGGACCACAGAAAATATGTTAAAGATAATATTTAAAACAGCAGTGGGATAAAAGAATCCAGCATTATCAAAAGAATACATCAGAAATTGTTATGAAGAAGAATTAAAGAAATCTTGAAAGTAGGAGAAAATCAACAAGAAGATAAAATAGAAAATGAGGATGAAATGATTATCGATATAGAAACTGAGGAAGAAAGAGAGAATAAAGAATTAAGAAATCAAGTGTAAACAATAAAAGAGGAAAAGGAAATTCTTGTAAAATAAATTAAACAGATGAAAGAAGAAAAGGAAGAGACAGAAAGATTAATCAACATTAAATTAAATGAAAATGTGAATTTGGCACAAAGAGTAATGGAAGTAGGAATGGAAAATGAAAAATTGAATAGGAAAATTGAAGAGTATGAAATGGTAGAAAAAGTAATTTGTGATAAAAATGAATCAATTTTTCATTGTGAAAATTGCAAAGAGGAAGGGACAAATTATATATATTACCCACAAAGTAGTATAAATATGTATAAAACTTTATATCTTGCAGAACAAGAAATAAGTAAGAAAAGAGTGGAGGAGCTTAAAGAATTTAATAATTTATTTAATAGTTACCAAACTCTTGAAATGGAAAAGAAGGATGAAATAATATTTAGGGAGCAACAAACCATTGAAGAAATATTGTCAGAATTTAATACAGTTATTAATTATGAAAGAACAAAAAATAATAACTGATAATTAACAAAGCAATATGAGGAAGTAATCAGACATGGAAAACCTTCATAATATAGTTATAAAAGAATATGTTTCTATAATCTTATTTGAAAGAAGTCCTAGAAATATTTGGATTAGTAAAAGAATTAATTCTAAAAAAGAATTTTATAATCATTTACAATGTCCTGGAGGACATGTGGAAGTTTCATATATTTCAGCTAAACAAGTAGCTCAAAGAGAATTGTTGAAAAAAACAGGTATAAAAGTAAGATTACAAGATTTAGAATATGAAAGAACAAATCACTATTATAGAATGAATGAATGGAGGATAGTTCATATTTATTTCTTAAGAACTAAAAGAAGACCAACCTTGACTGAGCCAGAAGAAATGATAAAATGGAAGATAATGAATGTACAAGATATTATTAAAGAACCAGTTATTGATTCACTAAAGGATACATTTAAAGGAAGACAGAATGAAACAAGAATTATTATGATAGAAGGAACTTGTGAAGCAGGAAAGTCTACACTTGCTCAAATGTGTAAGAAATATTTTATTAACCAAAGGAAAAGTGTGAAAGTTATAGATGAAACCTTTATAACTAAAGATTTAAGAAGAAGAATAATAAATTATAAAGAGAATCTGAAGAAATACAAGGAGGAAGAAATTAGTTAAGGAAAGATGATTACAATTGCAATAATATTGGAGGAATGGATTAGAAATACATGGATGAAATAAATTTATGAATTCATGACAAAAGAAAATAAACCTGATATACTTATCATGAACAGGAATTTATTCTCAACTATAATATTTATGGATATGATGGGAAGCACTGGAATTTATCCAAAGGAAGAACAACAAATAACTTGTGAAAATAATAAATATTGGGAATATATAAAAAGAGATGTAGAAGTTATCTGGTGGAACACTCCAGTTGAAGAAAGTATAAAAAGATTAATATGCAGAGGAAGAGTTAGAGAAATTGATATAGACTATTATAGGAGTCTAGATCAGGCCTATAAAAAATGTATGTTTGAAATCTATCCTAATATGAAAATCATAACTAAAGAAACTCTACTGATAGTAGAACAACTGAAAGAATTCTTACCTAATATCTTGAATAAAAAAATTATCAAAATTGAATATTAGAATCTAGTCAAAATGGGGATATTTTGCTTAAGTAGGAGGGGAACTGTTATGGTATAAAATGTAACATTATAATTATTAGTTAAAACTTCAATATATTAATATAGTATCAATACATTATAACAGAGGATGAACAATTATTTAACTTATTATTAATATTTAAACATATTAGTTAATCACATAACACCAATTAATATTACTTAACATTTATTATTATTTATATTTAATATTATTTAGTAATAGTTATTATATTAATATTATTAGTATTATATTATTTATAGTCATTAGTAAATAGTATTTTGTGGCACAGTAGTTAAAATAGTATAAATATATCCCTTATCCCAAATAGTTTCAGAAGTTTTACATTCTTTAATTTTATAACTTTAATTGATTGTAATTCTCAGAGGAAGAAATGTAATTATTTACATAGATTTATGTATATAAATTCTCTTTAAATTTATATAATAGAAGTGAAATAATAAATATTATTATTTAAGTTAATAAATAATAACTTATTGAATATAATAAAGTGGAAGTGAGAATATTAAATAGAAGTTATATAATTAATTAAATAATTAATTATATTTGTTCTGTCCTAATAATTATTGAGAAAGTTTGATGACAAAGTATCTATTCAATACTAAAGATAATAAAAGAAAGTTAGGAAGATATATTTAAGGATGTTATGATAAAATTATGAAGATAAATTAATAAAGATATTATAATGAAATTGTGGAGATAAATTAATAAGAATGTTATGATGAAACTATAAATATATAATATTAAGGAAGTTTGGAAGTTAAGAAATATAATATTAAAATAGATGTATTATGATTACAGTGGATAAATATTAATTTGTTAGTTCTATCTAAAAACTAACTGGTGTCTTTTAAAATTCAAGGAACAACCAAATTAGAAGTCTTGTACCTATGGGGAAGAACTATAAACTCCTTAAAAGAACTGTTGAGTGGATATTAACAATAACACCTGCGACACCAGCTTTCAAAAAGCTTCAAATATTTTTTATTAAGTAACTTGTTGCAGTTACTTTAAGAGTATCATCATTTGAATATATGTTTTTAATTGACTTGTTTACAATTTCTCCAACAATTTTCTTTTTATTCAAAATATTATGAGTGAAATAGTTTTTTTTTTATAAAAATAAATAAATAAAATAAAATAAAAATACTTACTTTAATAAATGTTGGATTATACATATCATC